TATATCACATAAGCAATTAGCCTCATGGTAAGCATGCTATCATGGCAGTCACTCACACGCATGCAAGGATGCTAAAGCATAAAACTTACCGAGTACTCCAAGCCAAAACAGAAGCTAATTAGAAATCCATGCATGATCCTAATTATACAGAAATGCCTAATGCAACACATGCAAATGTGCAACTATAGCAGGCTCGGCTATTCTAGACATGGCATATGAAATGCTACAGCTAACATGTATTCAACTTGGAATTGAAAATACAATGCAGTTAGTATGATGCGCCGAGCTCGGTGCATACAAGACAGATGAAATGAATGCAAGCATGCTATCATACTGTATGCTAATTGAAACATGCCCTAATCTAACCATCATAAGCGGGTAAATAAAAGGGAGAAAGACGTGGGCTCAGAAGACATACATCACACACACGCACACTTATTACAATATTGCCTTCGCGCAGAGGGTCCGAATAAATAATATACAGTCCCAAATGAGTAATTACAGTCCAAATATGTACAAAACCCTAATTAATTAACAAATTAAATTAGGAAAGCAATAAATTGGCATGCAAGCCAGGGACTGCCTCAAATCTGCTCCGAATGATGAATGATGCATGCTCGGGTTGCCTTGTGCGGAGAATCCCTCGCAATGCCCCGGTTTGCCTCTGTTTGCAATTGTTCTTGGAATGCGTGTTAAGCTCCGGAAGGCTACCAATTTCTGATTTGCTGCAACAGAGAGCAACAAAGGGGCATGGCAAAGTATTTTCACATATGTATGCATAACTACTCTTCAGGGAGTGTAGTCCTCAATCCTCGTGCCACCAATCACGCATCTCGATGCATGATGGCCGAGGAGTTGAATTGCACGACTCGATATGAAATGAATGTACATATGAACACAACAAGACCTAAACTCCATCATGGATAATCCGGAGTGTCGATGACTGGGAATTGAGACACGTTCCGTCACTCGAAGTATGAAACGTCCCTCGTTTCCCGTGTTCGGGCTAACTCCTATCCCAAACACAATGCAATATGCATGACATGCATGAATGCAACTAATATACAACCTAGCATGCACAATGCTATGAGATGGCATACACAATGCACGATGTAACAAGGCATACACAATGCTCTAATATATAATCTAGCATACGCAATGCTATGAATTGAAATGGCATACACAATGCATAATGGACTTACACCAACATGAGTGGACCTCAGCCACACTCACATCAGTAGCCATTAGATGAAAATGAGACTCTCGAAATACGTGCACGCATACACGCAAACCGAGGACCAAGCCTAAGGCATCAAATGCCACTATACCCAAAGCATGGCAAGGCATGGAACATGATACACAAACATGCGAATTTCAGCGCTGAAATATGATACAAAACAGCCCCGAAACATGGAAACATGGCACCCGATGCATGGAATGAACCCCGAAATTCGAAACTAGGCACATGGAATGACTTACAGCTATACAAAGCATGCATTATTTGATCATGAAGCATGAAGAAAGATGCAAGACAGTCCCAAAACATGCATATTTCCAGTTTATAACAAGTCTCAAAAATGAACACAAATAGGGCTAATCTATCATGCAAAAATGGCCCTAAAAGAGAGATTAAACACAAAGGGACAGAAGCTGGCCCCAAATGGCAAAGATCCCTTCAACAAAGTTGAAGAGGGGCTCAAAACAAGGCACTTTACAGTTTACATCAAGCCACGAAAATGATAAAAAATAAGGCCAAACTATCATGCAAGAAAAGGGCTAAAAGAGGGGTAAAGAGACAAGTGGCAGCTTCTGTTCCCAAACAAAGGAGAGCCCTTCAAAAAAGTTGAATAGAGGCTCAAAACAAGATATTTCTCAGTTTATGGCAAAGTCCAAAACAGCTCACAAATAAGCCTAAAATACTATGCAAAAATTGGCCTAAAAGAGAGTTAAAGAGGAAAGTGATAGTAGGAGACCTCAAACAGAGGAGAGCCCTTCAACAATGTTTAAGAGGGGCTCAAAAAAAGTTATTTTACAATTTATGACCAAGTCCAAAACAACTCACAAATAAGCCTAAAATACCATGCAAAAATTGGCCTAAAAGAGAGATAAAGAGGCAAGTGGTAGTAGGAGACCTCAAACAGCAGGAGGTCCTTGATCAAACATGAAAAGGGGCTCAAAATATGACTATTTACAGTTTGAGTTAGAGCCTAAAAAAGCTAGCAAGTATGGCTTAGATAGCATGCAAAACAAGGCAAGAAAGAGGGAAAATGGGACTCACCCTTGTAGAACCAAGCTTCAACAACTTTTGGGCCAAGTTTGGGAGCTCTTCACCTCTGGAAAGCAGCCTCAAGTTGCTGGAATGAGGGATGGAGGCCTTGTGCTATGAGGTGTAGGGTAAATGGTGTAGAACTTAAGGGGTTTTGGTACTTGGAGTAGAGTGAGAGAGAGAGAGATTGAATGCAAGAGCTCCAAAAAAGTTTTTGTAACCCTCAAACAAGGAGCTGAGAGGCTGGTTTTATAGAGGAGAGGAGTGAAGAAAATGGGGGAAAATCAAATTCAAATTTTCTCCCCAAAAGACCCCCCCTCGGATACAGGATCTGGGGGGAAACAGAGGGTGCAGCTGTAAGGAACCAGTGAGAGGGTCATGGCCGGTTAGGTTCAGAAGGTTCAGGGGGCCGGCCGGCCACCCCCCATGGCCGGCCGACCAAGGGTCAAAAGGGTCAATGACAATTGCTGGTCGGCCACCTCAAAAAGGTGGCCTCCCATGTGTGCACAACACAGCTATGTGGTTGAAACCCGAAAAATGTGAACCAGGAGAGAGAAAAATCCATTTTTTAGAGGGGTTCAAAAGGGTCAGGCACAATTACTGGTCGGCCACCAAATATTGGTGGCCTCCCAGGTGTGTACAACACAAATATGGGGTTTAGGGTTCAAGAAAGTGGCCCCGGGGTGGTCAACATTGGCTTTCAAGTGAGGAAAACGGGCATCGGAGAGCGATGAAGAAATAAAGCTTTCGGAACAATTGCTGGCCTCCCACCCTCCTACAAGCTTCCTAACTATGAAAATAAGGTCTCCACCAAAAATGAACCAAAACGGAGGTTCGGGGGACCGAAACGCGCGGCCCAGGGCCCTGAAAATGGGCTGTTAAGCACCGGAGGTGACATTCGACCACGAAGTTGGTCTCTCGGGCCACAGTGTTCCTCAAAAGGGAGGAAATAAGGTGTGTGCCAAAAATCGGAGCAAACGGAGGTGGTTAGGCGGTCCCGAACCGAGGCACACAGCCGTCGGCTTTGAAAAAAACGGAAACGAGGCTCCAAAATGGGAAAAAATGGCCTACGACCACGAAACGTAGCCTACGGTCACTGAGAGATGATCTACGAGACCTCTCTCTCCCTTCGGGAAGAGAAAACAGAGAAAATAAAGCCTGGTTCGCAAACCGAGGCAAGGCACGAAAGAGTCCGGAAGTTTAAAGGCAAGGCTTGCAACCGGGACTCTGAAACTTCTGAACGAGCACAATATGCAATATCACCGAGCGCTCAACTGGTGACGTCTGAGTCTTAAGGTCGGTCAAAAATGGGGTGTCTACACCAGCTCTCAAGATTGGGCGTATAACAAAAGCATTGAAAGGTAAAAGGATTATATACACTTCCTCTTTAGACAGACAATCGGGGTACAAAATCAAAAGTTTAGCAAAAATCCACAAAATGAGTTGCCTTCATCTAAGTGCCTGGACACCCTGAGGTTAACATAAAAGGAACGGATGCCTTGGGTTGAGACTGACCTCCAGGTGGAGTGCCTACAGAAATAGACATAACATAAAGTGAGCCAAACTCAGTGAATAGTAGTACGTAACAATTTAACAATTAACTTGAATTACAATGTACATGTATAAGGGCGGAGGACATATAGTTAGCTTTATCCTATAATTATTTTCAGAATGGCCTTAGGCCTATGGTTTTCAGCCCTTAAACAGAACGACATTAAGCCTTTAAACAGACGGCATTAAGCCCTTTTCATGCATGTATGAACTCAAGAGGTGGCTCGCACGGATTCTAAAGGTGACTCGCATGGCAGCACTTAGTTCCGTGCAGCACTTTGTTTCATACTAACAGATCATACAGAATGGCCATAGGCCCTGATGTCACAAATTGGCCATAGGCCTCACAGATGTTACAGAACGGCTATAAGCCTCATAACTTTCACAGAACGGCCATAAGCCTCATAACTTTCACAGAACGGCCATAGGTCTCATAACTTTCACATCGGCTTTAAGCCCAGTTCACATATGTATGGACTCAAGAGGTGGCTCGTACGGATTCTAGAGGTGGCTCGCATTGCAGCACTTAGTTCCGTACAGCATTTTGTTCCATACCAGAAATCATTAGGTCTTAAAGACCAAACCGTCCATATCATGTCAGAGCATAGCATAACATAAACAGAAATCAGAGTTCATACTTGATTATACTTGGTACTTTCAATAGCACTAACAAATCAATATAGGGCATACTTGTTAGTTCCATAATGGAACCTCCGGTACCGGGAACTTGTAACATACTTGAACCACGGTATTATTACCCCCGGACAAGGGCCATAAGACCACGGTATTCTTACCCCCAGGTAAGGGCCTTGTGCTAAGGATGCCATGAATACTTATATATATATATATATGGACAATCATTCATTAATTCAAAACGTAACATATCAGAAAATAGAATATTTCTTGCCATATCATGTCATTACAGTATGCTTAACAAAGACAGAACAATTTACATTCTAACGTGGGTTACATAATGATATTAAACCTTTGCATTCATGTTGTAGATTCTAAACGACCTCGGGTCCATACGTAACACAACAGAATAATCTTGGATTCATACAGATACCATTGTTCAAGGATGAACATAAGTTCCATTTATTCTTTAAGAAGTAACGTAGTATGCTGATAAATAATAAAGGGTTAATATTTGTTATTGACAGAACAAAAGGATTCCAAAGTCATACCGATGTGCGCAAATCTTTCAATGTTCATATAAGTTCACACTGATTTCCAATCGTCATAATTGTTTGTGTACCACTTACGAAGAACAGAGTGTTAGTGACAATAATTATCAACAGTAAATAAAATATACACTTCTGTACTGCTACTTACAGTGATCGGCTCCCGGTAGCAATGAGACGGTGTCCTCGTTTCGACCTACAGCACAGTGCACAACACATAATATAAGATTATACTCGATCATTTACTTATTCTCTTTGATCATTCGATCAATTAGCCATGGTGGTACCAAGCTCATTATTCCTTAATAAGTTATAATCCATGTCTCAGAAAACAAGAGAAGTCGATGGGAAATGGTTTAGGTGAAGAAATGGTACAAAACTAGTTGACAAAAAGTGAACAGTTGTCACTAATTTGGGCATAACTATTTTTGTATTTAGAATTTTGGAGTGAAACCACCGCCATTGGAAACTAGACTTCCGGAGCTTGATTTTAAGCTCAAGAATCACTCAAAACGGAGTCCCGAGGAAAACGATATGCTTATTCAAAGTTGGCTGGACAAAGCTGTCTCCCGCACGTGCGGGAAACAGAGCCGCACGTGCGGCTTTGGGCAGTTTGCTGTCTGAAAATGGCTCTTTTTTTTTCCAGCACTTGGTTTTTCCATTTTTAAACTTGGTTCTTAACATAAATCACTCAAAAACATGTAAAATTATCTCATAACATGATAAACTAACATCAATCAAGTGCAATTCCATTTTAAACAAATCAATCTTTGCCTCAAAAATAGAAATTCAAGTCTCATCTTCTATATAATCAAGCTTCTATAATATATACCCCAAAATCATACAAATACATCTTACACATGGTTGATTTTCACACCACAACTTGGTATTCCATGAATCATTCTTAAGATTGAACTCAATTCAAACAAATTTAAAGAAATCAAGGTTCAATTCCTTGAGCTTAACTCATTTCATTCATAACCCAACACACTTGTTCATTTGCATATTAATTTTCCCCAAATCCATCATTGATTTCATGTAGTAGATGCATTATTTACAAAGATAATAGTTGAAGCCACATACCTTAACTTAATTCCTTGTTTTTCCCCTTTAATCTCTTCAATTTTCCAAGCTTCCATGGATGATCCTCTTTCCCTTTCTATCTCTCTTTCACGGTTCTCTCTCTCCCTCCCCCTTAGATATTTTATTTGATTTCAAAATGATAAAACCCCCAACTCACATGGCCTATCCATATATGTATATATCGCATACTTAAGCTTAACACAAGGGAGAGCCAAACGTGGCCTTACGAATCGCGCAAAATTATATTTCAATTAAACTTTCCAGATGACTCTAAAAATTATGATGATCATAAATATGCCCCCTGTTTTGGTTTCTGAAGCCTCTAAGACTTTCAATTTGCAGTACCAAGTTAACCACCCAAACGTACATTAACGAATCAGACAAATTAGATTTCCAATTAAGTTTCCCAAATAGTTCTAAAAATTTCAATTAACACATCCAAGTCCTCAATTGTGATTTTTGAACCCGTAAAGGTCAGTAATTTCAATTTTAAAGTCGTGGCTCAACAGTTAATTCCTCAATTTAAACACATATCATTAAATTAAAATGCATTAACCCATAAGGTCGTAAAGGTAATATTTAATACGGATTTTGGGGTCGTTACACTAAAAGTGAGTAAAGACAAAATTTAATCAGTTTAATCATCCCTAATCAAATTTCGACAAAAATGCTTATTATTACTTAAAAATTATGCTGATCTCAGATGTAAAATCAATTTTAGGTAATTAATCCTCCAAGGATTCCAATTTCTAATTCAATCATTATAATTGTGACAGATGCTTTCCTTACCAAACAGATAGGTTTCAATTTATAAGAGCCATGTGCTTAAACTAAATTTCTCGAGAGATTTCACATTAAACATTTAAATGCACAGAACAAGGGACTAAATTATGCCAGAAACACATACAAGGGTCGGGTTATTACAAGTGGTTTATTTTTATTTGGAGCCAAGAGAGGCTTAAATAATCCACTATGCATGTTGCCTTGGTTACAACCAAGATGAGGTCGTGTTAAGAACCAAACATGGATGCTAGTATCCACTTTCCATGTTGTGCCTTTTATGATTAACCAGATGCGAGATCTCATTTGGCGCCTGGAAGGCGAGCAAATAGAGAATTCGAGTTAGGCGCTAGAAAGCGACTAGACTAAGATCTATACAGTGTATCGAGTATGACGTCACTCTTTTGGAAGAGTTACTCCACCATAACATGTATTCATACTATATGTGCTTGGCGACCGAATAATGAGGTGAACGAATAGATCCTTGTTTCCTCACCGTGTGAGTCTTACATGTCATTATTGATATGACTTTCATTTATGTACCCTTTTGTCACTTTTGACTAAGTCATAAGGTAAAGGGTTGATGTTCTGCTACTTTGGTATGTTGCCTGCGGTCACGAATGATTCAGCCTTAAGGGACATCACTGGGAAAACGGTCAATCCTAAACTAAATGGCATGAGAGCAAAGGGAAGATCATCTAGTATTACACCACTGTTGTATATTTACTGCCGGCAACTCACATCACTCTATATGAGAGGCGGATTGAGTGTGAATATATTGCAAGAATTGAGAGGGTCAAACACACTCTTTTTGAGGGATTAGAGATGTTTTTTAGACCGATGTAATTAGATGGGTCTGGGGTATATGAGACACTATTTCTGTTCTTTTGGGGTTGAGGTCTCTATGCTGGCTCATTTTGAGTTTCTAGTATAAAGCTCCCATGTGCAGGTGTTCTCAACAGTCGCACGGTGCAGTGGCTAGTATGAGATTATTCATTTTTTGGGAGATTGAGATAGAGATGTGGCAGTGTCATGCCAACTCATGTCCGAGTGGGAGATGTTAGAAATTGGGCGCCCATGTAACATGATCCTTTGAACCTTTTGAACCTTATCCATGTAAGCTTGAATTTGAATTCAAAACTTACTTGGATAACCACTCAAGATATCCATATCTATCATATCAACTGATATGGATAGATGAGATATTATCCTATATATCTGATATGATATGGGATATGGGTGATTAAGAGAAAAATAACGTATGTCGTATGTTTTACTCATTTACTGACTCTCTCTCAAAATACAACGATCAAGAGCCATTTTGCATTGTGACTTGTGTGGGTAATATTCATTCTGTAATATCACTCCATTGCTGGATTGATTGATCAGATTCAGGAAACATGTGATTTACCCACGAGATCCTTCAATTCAAACTCTCCAGAAAAAGATATTATCATAATTTTTCATCCGCTGCGTTTATACTTCGTTTTACAATCTATAAAACTGATCTAAACAAAAAATTATTATTATCTAATCGACTTAATTTTTTTCATAAATAATATATTTAACAAATTTTAAAATATAAACAAATCAAATTAATAAAACGAAATTTAAAAATAAATCCACAAGATCCAACAATACACCTCTAATCCAATACAAGACTGGAGGCAAGTCATCGCCTTAACAAGGCAGACGCAGCCTCCACGATAATCTCGCCGGAAGTCACAAATACTGATGTAGTGTTTGATTGATGGGAAAGGATTTTATTATTTTAATATAATATTTATTTTTACATTTAGTTATTAAAAAATTATAAAATAAATATAATTGTGAATAAAATATATACAATGAAAGAGATATTTGTGGAAAAAAAATAAAATGAAGGGGATGATTTCTTAAATTTTCTTATAAAGCAAATCAAAGTTTATGTATGTATTGTAGTCAATGGTGTATGGAGTTCGTTATAAAAACAATGGGAAACATTTTGAAGCCAATAATTTATGCTTAGTTTGGGAAGACTAAATAAGTGTACTTTTTGACTTTTTATGAAATATGGGTTGGGTTTGGGTTGGGTTTAAAGTGATGTGTTAGAGAGGTGATGTGACTTAAATAAGATAATGTGACTTAAATAAGATAGTGACTTTTTGACTTTTTGTCTTTTTTCAATCATGCCAAACTTGGCCTTAAACAATCAATTTTGTTATTAACAAAATCTTGATAATTTTAATATCTCAAATTATTTTATACACAACATAAGAAGTAGACAATAAAAAAAGTTAATCATATAGTTTGTGATTGGTTTTTTAGTTTTTTTTTTTTAAAATTTTTTTGTAAACTTTTAAAAAAAAAAGTTTTAGATGTTTAGAATCTACTCAATTAGATGAACTAGAAAGAAAAAATAAAAAATGGAAAATAGTTGACTTTTTTTTATTTATTTTTAATCTTTAGTAATCTTTTTTTGATTTTTACAAATTTTTTTTTTTTATAAAAAACTTCTTAGTTTTTTTCTTAGATTGTTAGACGCAACAAAAAAAAAAAAATTTTTACAAAATTTGAAAAAACAAATCATGTCCTTTTTAGCTTGATGTCAAACGATGCTTATAAAAAATTTATTGCAAAATAAAAATTGAATAGAAAATTTGTAGGATTAAAAAAAAAAAGAAAGGATAAGGGAGATGGGTTAAAAACATGAATATGATTTTAGAAGAACAAATTGAAAGTTATTTTCAAAATCTTGGACTTAAGTGTAATTTTTTAAAATATGAGGAAGGACTTTGGTTATAAATGAATGATCACTTCATATGGATATTTACATGTAGTGTTTCTTAACTTGAATGAAATATTTATTCTATTAAAATATTAATTTTAATTTATTAATATAATAATAAAAAAAATTATTGTTTATCATTTTAAAGGAAAAATCATATTAATCATATGAAGACTAAAAAATAATCATTTTAATTTCATTCCAATTAACCAAACTCATGTCTTAGCAAAGAAATTTAAGCTATGTAAATAAATGATTAACATAATCAAAAAATATTTAAGAGTTTTATATTTCGAGGACTCTCTCGAGACTTGTTTATTCATTTCACAACTAGAACCAAGGCTTTTGTTTTGGACTCTTTCTAATTTTGAGTTGAGTTTTTTTATCCTACATTCATGGTTTACCTACTCTTATGTCTATATAGATATCTATATTTTTTAAAAAGTCTTTTATTCGAGAATCTGTCGTCTATTTGAACATTTTTGAAGCACAAAAATTTAGTACAATGGATAGGAACCTTTTAGTTTTGCACCCTCTAATTTTGTAAATGATATTTTTTTTATTTAAAATTATAACGGTAAGTGATAGAGCGATTAAACTGTAACAAAAATGAAATTATGGAGTTTGAATTGTTTTAATTAAAATTACAAATATCAAAATGAAATTTATTTCAAACCAAAAAGATCAAAAATATAATTTACTGCAGTTTCAAAAATAATAATAATAAAAACTCTAAGTTAAATGTCATCAATCAAGCAATCGTCATAATTAAAGGCAGATGCAACTTTATGTAAACATTTTCTAATGCCAAGTCTTTTTCTATTTTTTACCATGTCAAATTTCAAAAAATAATTTTATATATGGAACTAAAGGACTATCCATCTTGAAATAGCTCTTTTAACTTATTTTTTAACTTCTCAAGGGTGATTACAAAGTCTCACATTTCTACTTAAAAGTCATAATAGAGTTAAATAAAATAATATTTTTTTATTAGTTTTCAATTAAATGGAAAGAAAAAAAATAAACTTGAAGCTAACACCCAAAAGGATATATATATAGCCTTATGATGGAATAATTTTCCACTACATATTTGACTTCCAACCTTTTTGATTTTTTTTAAGGGCTATTTTGAAAAGTTGCTATTTTAACAAAAAATTTAAAAAGTTAATTTTTCTTTTTATGTTTTTATATCTTTTTGTAAAAAAAATTATTAAAAAAATTAATCTTTAAAACAACCCTAAGTCACATACAGTAGTATATTTTGTGAACTAGTTATTAAAAATTTTAACTTCAAAATTTCAATAATTAATTTTCAACTGTCAAAATGCGTGATTACTCAATTTTAATTAGATTAGGCTAGAGATATCTGTAAACATAACCAACCTTTTTGATTTTTTTTAAGGGCTATTTTGAAAAGTTGCTATTTTAACAAAAAATTTAAAAAGTTAATTTTTCTTTTTATGTTTTTATATCTTTTTGTAAAAAAAATTATTAAAAAAATTAATCTTTAAAACAACCCTAAGTCACATACAGTAGTATATTTTGTGAACTAGTTATTAAAAATTTTAACATCAAGATTACTAATAATTTATTCAGTTGTTAATTTCAAAATTTCAATAATTAATTTTCAACTGTCCAAATGCGTGATTACTCAATTTTAATTAGATTAGGCTAGAGATATCCTGTATAATACATTTGAAAAAGATAAATAAAAAAATTAAATTAAATTGTAACATCAAATTATTTTCACCCTAAAAAAGAATCATGTACATAAACAGGACAGGCACTTAGACAGGGAAAATTATTTTTTGTTCCTGAGGCAAGCTGATGTAATGTTTTAACTTGATTTTTATTGGTTAAAATAATAAGATCTATTATTTTTTTTCACTTTTTAAAAGATAATTGAACACTTGTCATTCAATGGTGGTGTTTGGTGTAGCTGTTAAAACAGATTATAGATTATAGCTTAACAGATTATAGATTATGACTTTAATCAGAAGCTGTTAATCTGTTTGGTATAGCTGTTGGATTATAGATTTAAGTTGCTGAGTAGTGTTTGTTAAATAAGCTGTGAAGTAGCTTTTTCAATTAATTTTTATTTTTTATTATTCACTATTTATCTACATTTTTCATAAAAAATAATAATAATATTTAATAGTCCATTTGAGTCTTTTTCTATTTTTAAAAAAATAAAAAATAAAAAAATCTAAGAGTATAACCGTGAATTAACATGTCCACAGCAGAAGCTGATAATCAGAAGCAAGGGGTGAGCAGCTTCTCAGAATCAGCTTTTTTGACTTAAAATAAGTTGTTAGAATCAGAAGCTGTTTGAAATAAGTTTAACCAAACAGTCCAAAATAACTTTTTAAAAGCCAGAAGCCATAAGTTGACTTAAAAAAACTGCACCAAACACCCCCAATACATAGTGTGAAAAGCATTCTAAAACCAAACTTCTCCTTAGATAGGCCCAAACCCATACCGCGTTCGCACCGCGTATCTAATTGCAATTTCCAATTCAAGAATCTTAATAAAGCCGAAATTAAAGCCCCATCCTGCAAAAAGCACATTCGCAGCAAGCAGATACAACTTTATGTAAACATTTTCTAATGCTAAGTCTTTTTCTATTTTTTACCATGTCAAATATCAAAAAATGATTTTATATATGGAAGAGCATTCTCATCAAACTCGGTAGATTCGTTCTCTAAATAAACTAGCGATATAAATTTTAAAAAATCAAGCTCATCAAATCTCATTGCAAGCATGTCAAAATTTAAGAGTGTTATAGTATCTCGTTATAAAAAACAAGGTACTGTTTATCGCTACAACAAGCAGATTAGGTGTTACTGGAAGTCTGACCGATCAACCGGTCAATGACAATTTTTTTTGGACATTTTTTGAGAATTGTTTGGTTGGCATCTCATCAATTTAATAAAAAATATAACAATAAAATAATATTTCAATAGGATTGAGTTAGAATACAGAGTTTAATGCAATGGGTACTAAAAAGATGATTAGCTAAAATAGCAAAATAGCTTTTTAAACTCTAATTTGACTAAGAATTTAAAGAGATTAGTGTGGATGCTCTAACTAAAGGACTATCCATCTTAAAATAGCTCTTTTAACTTCTTTTTTAACTTCCCACCCTTGAGTGATTAGAGCATCCGCATCAGGTTCAGCAAATTTTAAGCCAAATTATAACAAAAAATTCACTTTTATATTTTAACTAACATCTTTTTTATGTACACACTCCATCAAACTCTCTATTAAATTTTATTTCATAGAAATATTATTTTTTATTCTTTTTATCTTTTTCAATTTAAATATATATTTTTTAGTGCACCATATCAGCAGTAGAGAGCAACAGTCGAATGAAGCAAACCCACTGAGGGGCGGTCGACCGGTCAGGCCAAAATTCAACAAAACTTCCTTCTCTGTAGGGACATTCGAGTGGACATCCTAGAAGACGTCCGGTGAGTGAGAAAATATAATAAAAAATAAATTAATCTGTCTCAAAAAATTAATAAACTATTGAATAACTAATGAATAGTATCTCAACAAATTTGTTGATTGAGGTCCTGTAATAAACTCAACAAAAAGCTAGTTTATAAATAATTTGTTGAGACTGATGGAACAAAAATTTTATGATTTGCTAATTATATTTAAGTAAAAACTACATGTGAGACTAACATGTATACTCCTACAAATTCTCACATTTCTACTTAAAAGCCATAAGAGTTAAATAACATAATTTTTTTTATTAGTTTTCAATTAAATGGAAAGAAAAAAAAATTAACTTGAAGCTAACACCCAAAAGGATACATATGTGGCCATATGATGGAATAATTTTCCACTACATATTTGACTTCCAACCTTTTTGATTTTTTTTTAAGGGCTATTTTAACAAAAAAAAATTAAAAAGTTAATTTTAAAATTTTTTTTTACATCTTTTTGTAAAAAATAAAAAAATTATTAAAAAAAATTAATTTTTAAAACAACCCTAAGTCACATGCAGTAGTATATATTGTGAACTAGTTATTAAAAATTTTAACATCAAGATTACTAATAATTTATTTGGTTGTTAATTTTAAAATTTTCAATAATTAGTTTTCAACTGTCTAAATATGTGATTACTCAAATTTAATTAGATTAGGCGAGAGATATCCTGTATAATTTTGAAAAAGATAAAATAAAAAAATTAAATTAAATTAAATTGTAACATCAAATTATTTTCAACCTTAAAAAGCATCACGTACATAAACAGGAGAGGCACTTAGACAGGAAAAATTATTTTGTTCGTGAGGCATCTGATGTAAAGTTTCAACTTGATTTTTAACGGTTGAAATAGAAAGATTTATGATATTTTTAGTTTTTTTCAAAAGGCAACTATAAACACTTCACATTCAATAAATAGTGTGATATAATGATCTACGAGTTCGTTTGAGATTAGTGTTAGTTTTTTATCTTTTTAATTTTTTTTATTATTTTAGTTTAGGATTAAAAAGTCTTATTTGGAATAATTTTTTTTATTTTTTTATTTTTGTGAGAGAAAAAAATAAAATAATTATAGATTAGATATGATATTTTACCATATTTAATTAACATAACTTATTTTATCTTATATAATTATTTTAGCCCAAAACTACATTCCAAAGAAGCTCACCCAACAAATTCTCTTAGATAGGCCCAAACCCATACCGCGTTCGCACCGCGTAGGGATCTAATCGTAATTTCCAATTCAAGAATCTTAGGGGTTGTTTGGAATGACCTAAATAAGTGTACTTTTTGTCTTTTTATGAAAAAATGTGCAGAAAAGTAGAGAGATGATGTGATGGAAAAAAGATAAAAAGATAAAAAGTGTATACTTATTTAGGATAGCCAAACTTGGCCTTAATAAAGCCAAAATTAAAGCGCCGTCCTGGGGTTTAAGCCCCTAGGTCCAGGGTTCAATTTCTCTCTGGGCCAATTTCTTGGGCGTAGCACAGTTGATTAGGAGGTTGACTTCAATGATGCCTTATCTGCTACTTGGTGTGAGTTTAATTCTCCCTTGCTGTGCGAGTCCTGACTTAAGTGGATCTTGCCTTGGAAGGTTGGGACAAGTTTCCAGGTTATAGTCTCTTGCTCGAAACGAACAACAGGACACACCCTGGTGATCTTCTCAAGAGGCGCTGCCTTAGACCTGCGGGAGAGTGAGAGGATTTTTCCCTAAAAAAAAAAGGAAAAAAAAAAAAGAAAGAAAAAAAGCTCCATTCTGCAAAAAGCACATTCACAACACCACCAGTAAAGCACCCTCTTCTGACAAAAATAAAATAAAAAATAAAGCGCCCTCTGTAAATAATTCAAAATTGGCACAGATTTCCTCGGTGAATTCAATTCATGCCCCCAACGCTTAACGTTATCTTCCATGCAACTTTACCAAACTACCCTCAGCAAACATTCTATTTTTAGGGTGATAAATGAATCAAAAGAATTTAAAATTTGATTCGTATTTTACTGGTTAAAAATATATTTAGCCTCAATTTATTAACTTACTATTAAATAAATTTTAAAACTTATTAAAGTTTCAAACTAGCTTGAATAATCAATTATTCATTTAGTTTGATTCAATAAACCTAAAATTATATAAAAATACCTAAAATTTTATTTGAGATCAACTCAAAAAATTAGCAAATCAAGCTTAAATAAATTTTACAATTCTTTAAAAAAATTCAAATCAAATTTAAACAGTTAACTGTTGGACTCATTTATCACTCGTACTTTTTTTATTTTTTATTTTTTTAACAGCTCTCCCAACCTATTTGGACATTCCCTTTTCCCAAAAGCTCAAAGGGCTTTCAAAGTAGTTTCATCCAGAATATTTTAATTGGGTGGCAAATTAGTAATATTTATATAAATTCAAGGACTATTAAGAAAAAAAACACTATATATACCCCAATTAACAAGATGAGTTTCTTGAGATTTCAAACCAGAGCCCATCGTTTCGTCTCATATTAGAGTCTTGCGACTCCAATGGCGTACCGTTACGAAGCCGAGGTTACGATCACATCGGCCAAAGATCTGAAGAACGTCAACTGGCGCAATGGCCGGATCAAGCCCTACGCCGTCGTCTGGGTCGACCCGAAATCCAAATCCTCCACCAGAGTCGACGACGAGGGTGACACGTGTCCCTTCTGGGATCAGACACTTGTCATCCCTCTCAACGCTCCGATCGAGGACTCCACCCTCTACATCGACATCGTCCACGCCAACGCCGATGAAAACACCAAGCCGCTCATCGGCTCGGCTCGGCTCCCCCTTCGTGACGTCGTCGACGACGTCGGGCTCGGCGAACGAGCCAGCCGGAAACTCGAGCTGAAACGCCCATCGGGTAGACCCCACGGCAAGGTCGAAGTCAAGGTCGCCGTGCGCGAGCCGCGCTATCGTGCGCCGGATCCTTACTATGCTCCACCTTACGGCGTGGCTCCGACTTCGAGGGACTACTCGGCTCCTCCGGCGCCTTACGGAAACCCCTACGCCGCGCCATACGGTGCAGCGCCGCCGCCGTCTGGGTACCCGTACGGTGGTGGGGCATCTTACGGTCAGCCTCAGGGGGGTTACGGTCAGCCGGTTTATGGGCCGGGGAGTTACGGGCAGCCTGCCCAGAGCGGTTACGGGCAGCCTGCTCAAAAGGAATATGGATACGGGCAGGTGAAGGAAGAGAAGAAGAGCAAGTTTGGTGGAATGGGGATGGGGACGGGATTGGCTGTGGGTGCGGTGGCTGGGGTGTTGGGTGGACTTGCGATAGCGGAGGGCGCTGATTATGTGGAGGACAAGATTGCTGACGATGTGACGGACAGGGTGGAGGATAATCTGGATGATGATGGGTATGATGGTGATGACTTCTAGAATGTGTTATTTTGTTTTTTGTTTTTAATTTTAATTTTTAAATATTACTTTCTTTTGGTTTTTTGTTTTTTGTTTTTTAAATGTGGATTTGGTTGTGAGCATGCTCGCTTTTGTTATCGGGTAATGTTGGAATATCAAATTTTTTATTGAATGAATGATTAAATGTCTCACATAATATGTCATGTCAGACATTTAATTCTTTATTTAGTAAAAAGTTTAAGAGGGAGCATTTTCCTTTATTATCATCTTCTTGAATAAAGATGAAAATGAAGTAACCTAGAAGTCACCAATGGCGCATTTTTATTTTCTTATTATGGGTAACAGTTGACCAGGAACAAATAAAATTAATTTTACACCATTTAAGATTTGAAATACAGCATCCAATTAATAAAAGATAAGATTTAAGATTTGAATTCCAACATTCACTTAGCAAAATATATTATTGTATCACATGAGATTGGAATCTATAGTTAAAAAATAAAATTTGAATTTGAATTTCGACTAATAAATAAAAAGATAATTGTATCACACAATTGAACTTTGCATTTGTTTAGGTTCAGATTTAGAACATTAGCACATTTTTTTTTTTTAGAAGGTTGATAATATATTCCCATCAAAAAAGAAAAAAAGAAAAGAAAAAGAAGATTGATAATATATATACAAAAAAATAAATAAATAAATGAAAAATCAAAATTTTAATATTATTTGAATTATTCCTAAAAGCATAAATTATTCTAAACACTACAATATATATATATTTTAAAAAAATTATAAATAAGTCAAATAAATTAGAGAATCAAATAAATTAGAGAAAATTACATATCAACAAAAAAATTATATATTAATAAAAAAATTTATAAATTTAATTATTTATATTTATATAATTTTTTTTATTAATTTAGTTTTTCAAAAAAACTATATTATCAATAACCCAAGTGCCATCAACATAGTTTTTGGTATATAACTATGTTGGTATGTAATCTTGGACCACATAGTTATTAAATACCATTTTTTTTATTAATTTAGTTTTTCAAATAAAATTCTAATGGTGGACCCCATGAACAATCCATACGATGGATGACAATGAAATGGGTTATTAATGGTGGACCACACCATGACAAAACTACAGATAGGTAGCACATAGTATTTGATTCGGACTTTTGATAGCATCTCTCTCTCTCTCTCTTCTTTACAAAAAATATTATATGGTGAAAGGTTCTTGAGTTTTGTTTACGCTGTATTTGGTTGAGGGATTTGGGAAGAGATTTAGAAAGGAAAAGAAAAAAAATGTGTGAAATTATGTAAAATGTAGGCATATTTTTTTCACATTTTACCTACATTTTCCATTTCTCTTTTTAAATTCCTCATCAAATCCCTCAACCAAACACAATATTAATATTTTAGCTATTTGCTTTTGTGGAGAAGACCGAATCATGTGCTTCCCAGAGAGAGAACAATGCTGGAATGTGCCACCACCTTCCTTGGCCTGCATTTATATATTTTTATATATAGAACAAATTATACACTTTAGTCTCTGTATTTTGATTTTTGATTCATTTTAATTTTTGTAATTTTAATCGGATTAATTTTGTCTTTAAATTATTATTATTTTTTGTTTCAAATTGATTCAATTGCTTCCAAATGTTAGTATTTTTTATAGCAAATGTGCACATGAGCGGCATCTGACATACTTTTATGAGAAAAATTGTAGATTTGATCAATTCAATAATTTAATCTCAACCAACTCAATAAAAAATTTTATGTCAAAAATCTAAATGACATTATCAATTAGATCCAACTAATGTAAAATCTAAAATTAATTATCAAAATTTAGTTAATTAAAACTGTAAAGACTAGCAGTTCCGTTACGGAGCCCGAAATACCCAACGGCTCGAATGGCTTTGTGACGCCCCAAATTTAAGGACATCATAATAAGATTTAAAAACTTAAAATCAATATTGCCACCAAGATTACTAACATCCATTAATTAACAACTCATAATTTAAAGTTCTTACATCACAACTTAGTCTCAGTACATAACCGAAATGACACAAATATAAAAAGAATACTAGGAAAAAAACTAGAATTATAGGATATGGTTCATGGAACTTGGGCACTCTTCAAGCTAACCAAGGCTGAGTGTCGCCTTGCAAGGCCTTGGTGTCTCCTTTGGTTTCTTCGGTACCTGGCATAAAACGTCAGGGCAACGAGAATGCCAGTGAGCGACAAGCTCAATAAGAAACTACAACCCGAAAATGCCCACCCTGATAATAATACTCACAATTCATGAATAATGTGTAATAACAAAATAACCAGTAACATTTAGTAAGCATAAAATAAATGTTATCAGTTGAAATAATAACAATAAATAATAATAAATCAAATAAAAATATAACAAACGAAAACAATATTTCATCATAAGGAATCTGTCCACATTTTTTTTTTATTTTCATAGATTTAATTTTTCAGATAAATTTAGTAACTCCCCGCGGAGCACTATTTCCATTCAACCACTAAGCAATGGCCACGGGCAATTCTAACTTCTCCTTGGTCAAATATTTAAATGTTACTTACTGTAATTACCAATGATGCCCACGTACCAGAGTTACGTACCCGAGTCGTGACATCACAGTCTGCCCTAAGGAAACGGTCTACGTTGTGACACCCGCACCACCAACCTTATATTGCCTACACCGATAAGAGCCGAAATACCTTTTCGTGCCATGTTAGGGTTCGCAACTCACTTGCGCAAGATTCCAAACCGGGCTCACCCCATCACTTTTACATTTTAATGTATCATTGGTTAAATTTCGTGTCTCTTTACTCGTTGAGATATTCACAATAATTCAAAATTTAATTACCAATAATGTTATACCAACTCATTAAAATCCGAACATAAAATATTACACATGTCACACAATAATAAACAATTGTACAAATTTTAAATAAACAATTTATTTAAACCATGGTATGAAATAATAATTTAGATACAGAGAAAA